AGAAACACCCTGGGATTTTTAATGACCACAGAGAGTCAGGACCTCGGTTTGACGTCTCACCCGAAGGACAGCGCCTGTTTACAGTCTAGTGTCCCCCGTCACTATACTGGGGCATCAGGACCCACACAGACCGCAGGGTGAGCGCCCCCTGCTGGCCCCCACTAACACCTCTTCCAGCAGCAGCCTCAGCTCTCCCCAAGATGGCGGGAGATCCAATCCCACCGATCCAAGAGTCTCCGATGTCTCGATCCAGGTTTAACTCCAGGATCCAAAACTTCATGGAGCGCCAGCGCAGCAGGGGGTGTCACCTGATGAACGGCCGCCACCGGCAGGGGCCCGCGGGGGAGGGGGCGCACTCCGAAACCTCCATGGTCATGCTGAGGAAGGGTGAGTGTCCTCGTCCCGTCTCTCCTCCCCCCCCCCTTCGATCAGGATGCACTCCCATTCCGGTCCCTGCCATTCCGGTCCTGGTCTTGGATCTTTCCAAGACATCACTGCCACTCACTCCAGGGCCAGTTGGACCTCCGGGTCTCCGGGTTTTCGTTCTGCCCTGGACTCTGAGTGGCATCCAGTGGTCTCTAATAGGTCTTAATTGATCTGCTTCCAGGCTGTAACTCACGTTACCTGTAAGATCTGGATTGTACCCCCTCCAGGATCAGGAGTGGATACCTTGACGATGCGTTCATTATTTAATTGATCCCTAACTTCTGAGGCTGTTGCTCACTTTTTAAAGTGCAGTCAGCAGGTGAGCCGAGGCAATGGAATGGAGATGCTAGTACTGACTGAGGTGAAGCAGTCTGTGATCACAATGTGGTATAATGTACTGCAGCCAGTAAGTGGGCTCCAGTGGGCTCTACTGTATCTGACTGGGCTCCAGTGGGCTCTACTGTACCAGACTGGGCTCCAGTGTGCTCTACTGTATCTGACTGGGCACCAGTGGGTTCTACTGTACCAGACTGGGCTCCAGTGTGCTCTACTGTATCTGACTGGGCACCAGTGGGTTCTACTGTACCAGACTGGGCAGCACTTGGCTCTACTGTACCAGACTGGGCTCCAGTGTGCTCTACTGTATCTGACTGGGCACCAGTGGG